CTGTCAGTCCCAAGCACTGACACATCCCCTGGTGCTCTGGGGGGGGGAAAGGAGCATTGTTCCTCCTTCAGCACCATCCTCATCCTCAGGCAGCTCTGAGGGGACCCTCAGCTCCCCAGCACTCCAAAATCTGCAACCAGAAACTCTGCAGATTGGAAGGACACCCAGAGAGGCTCCCTGGCCCAGGGTGAGAGCCCTAAAGGCACATTCAGGACACAGAAATTCTGGATTCCCTCATGTCTCCCGTGTCCCATCCCCTTTTTCCTCTTTCCACCCAAAAAGCAGCTGCAATAACCTTCCTGCTCCTGGAAAAAAACGGTTTGAAAAGCAGAAATGTGGGACTGCTCCTGTGCAAACGCTCTGCGAGGACACCCTGCCAAGGGACAGCCTGGCTTAGCCACCAAGGCAGGGATTGATCCCAACTGCTCCACCCTAATCCTATAGAGCAGCAAAATCTTGCTGAGGAGTCCCACTGCTGGCCAGGCACCAGGGTTTGGGGGAAAACTGATGGCAGAGCACATCTGGGGGTCAATGCACATCTGGGGGTGAATGCACATCTGGGGGTGAATGCAGCTGTGGGGAGCCCCAGCTGTGTTTTCTGCCGGGGTTGCAGGGCAGCCCAGACACCCTGCAAAGGCTCAGCTCCCGCTGCCTCCCCCAGGCTCCAGCAGGGTGGGGAAGGGCTGAAACGCTGCCAGGCTCACCCTAAAGCAGAGCTGGGGCGATGAACCAGCATCTCCGGAGCTTGGGGTGGGATCCAGGACCCCTGAGAGAGCCCTGGGGCTGAGCAGGGTGAGGGAGCCAGAAGTCAAACCAGCTCTCCATGGTGAATCCTATTAATCCTATAAATAGCGCTGGGGCAGGAGAGGGTGAGTGCCAGCTCCTTGTGCTGACATCACCCAGCTGAGACCTCCTGGTCACAGATCAGGACCGTGCCCTGAGGGCAGCAGAGGGGTGACACCCCAGAAAATGACTCCAAACGGAGAATCGAACCCAAATCACCCGCAGGGTGAGGAGTCACAGATCAGGACCTTGCCCCGAGGGCAGCAGAGACAGAAAATTACCCCAAATTGAGAAATGAACCAAAATCATCCCATGGCATTGCCCAGGACAAGGAGTCACAGATCAGGACCTTGCCCCGAGGGGAACAGAGCCAGAAAATGACCCCAAACAGAGAAACGAACCCAAATCATCCCAGGGCAAGGAGTCACAGATCAGGACCCTGCCCCGAGGGCAGCAAAGTCAGAAAATGATCCCAAAGAGAGAAATGAACCCAAATCCCCCCCAGGACATTTTCCAGGGTGAGGAGTCACAGATCAGGACCTTGCCCCGAGAGGAACAGAGCCAGAAAATGACCCCAAACAGAGAAACGAACCCAGATCACCCCATGGCATTGCCCAGGACAAGGAGTCACAGATCAGGACCGTGCCCCGAGGGAAACAGAGGGCTCACACCCCAGAAAATGATCCCAAAATGATCCCAAACAGAGAAACGAACCCAAAACACCCCCAGGGTGAGGAATCACAGATCAGGACCGTGCCTGGAGGGAAACAGAGGGCTCACACCCCAGAAACAGAGAAACGAACCCAAATCACCCTCAGAGCATTGCCCAGGGTGAGGAATCACAGCTCACAGGCAGGACGGCACCTCCACCCAGGCAGGGTGAAGGAGAGGGGTTGGGAAATGCAGGAATTTCACAGGGCTGAGAACCAGGGGAAATATCCCATGGAACAGGGGCAGAACAGCCCTGCAGCTCCCTGCAGCCCAGAAATGGGGGAGATTTCCCCCAATCCGGCATTTCACCCCGCCCTGCTTGCCCCACAGCCCCCGCCAGCCTCCCTGGCCTCTCTGGAATGGATCGTTTGTTCAGCATAATCTCGGGGAGGGGGGGAAGAAAATGGTTATTTTAAATGACTCACTGCACACGGGCAGCCACATAATGAAGTTTGCCACAGGAAATGATCCTCCAGCTCGAAAAAAGACAAGGTGTGGTGCTGTTCAAATGCAGCCTGGAGCTCACTTGTGACACATTTCTCTGGGCCCCATCTGTTTGCAAGAGCTGGCAGAAGTGTCAGCGCAGAAATAAACTGCATTTCCCCGAGGAAAGGGAACAGGCTGGGGCCACATGGACAGAGTCAGAGCAGATGAGCCCCCTCTCTGTGGTTCCCTTTCATTATAAACTCCTGCTTTTAGCAGCCACACATCCCCAGGGCCCCATCCAGCTGCGGGATTGAATTATTTATCTGCCTGGGAGCTGCAGAAATCCCCACAAACAGCAGGGAAACACCTTCAAGGCAGGGCAGGCCATTAATGAGGGGCTTTAATGCCCACGGGGGGGACTTTGCTGCATCTCAACATCAAACAAAACCATCGTGCCCTCAGATGTCTGCAGGTGACAGCGGCCACCAGGGCCCTGGCCCTGAAAGGGAAGGGGAAAAAGGGAAATAAACGGGCCTGAAGTGACAATTCAGCAATTTCAGGGAGCCTGGAGCAGGACGGGATTCCTCACACGGTGGAGAAAGCAGCAGTGCAGAAGGACAATGCTGCTCCAGCACTAATTAGGGATAATTGGGCTGCCGAGGTGCCCTCGGTCACAGGGGATGGAGAGGGAGGGGGAAAAGGAGAAAAAGGGACAAAGGAACCTCCCCGAGGCTCTTGGCTGTGCTGGGTCTGGTCAGCACCCGGGATCGGGACACAATTCCACGTTAATGTAAATGTAAACAGCACCAGCATGGGGACACAATTCCACATTAATGTAAATGTAAATAACACCCGGCATGGGGACACAATTCCATGTTAATTTCTGTGTAAATAGCACCCGGCATGGGGACACAATTCCACATTAATGTAAATGTAAATAGCACCCGGCATGGGGACACAATTCCGTGTTAATTTCTGTGTAAATAGCACCCGGCATGGGGACACAATTCCACGTTAATGTAAATATAAATAACACCCGGCATGGGGACACAATTCCACGTTAATGTAAATGTAAACAGCACCAGGTATGGGGACACAATTCCACGTTAATTTCTGTGTAAATGAACACCCAAACAGGCAAACTGAGACAGGCAGGACTCAGAGCTGGTGATCACAGCAAGAATGGGGTGGGAGCTCCTCTCTCATTCCCAGAGCCTCGGCAAATCCCAGGTCCTCCCCTTGCTAAACCCATTTCAGTTTTACTTTTGTAGGAGCGTGTGAGGAGGCAGAGATCCCGATAATCTCTTTTTTCTGGTGGCAGAGGGAAGTTTCTTCCACAGCAGAGGTAAAACCAGCCAGGGCCAGGCACTGAGCATCGCTGGGGTTCACTCCCATCATTGATTAAATTATTAATAAATAAGTCACTAACTGTGCCTGGGGAGGATGGGCTGCCCCGAGCACAGGAAGTACGAGCTCGATCTAAACCCAGACCTTGGCTGGCTAAAAATGAGCTGACACTGTGAGGAGGAGGAGGAGGAGGAGGAGGAGGAGGAGGAACGGAGCCATTCCAGCTCCAGGAGCCGGGCCAGGCTCAGGTTTCACCCCCAGTTTGGTTTTCCCGGATTCGGGAAGCCCAGCAGAGATGTCCAGGGTTCATTTTTCATTTTCTGTGCATAACAGGCACGGCACGGCTGAGGAGTCACACAACACTGAACAGAATTCAGTTCTGTGCTTTGAGAAAGGATAAAAAACCCCCAAAAGTGAGAGAGAAAATAGCAGCAGCTCTGGGCTTCCAGCAAATCCCCACTCAGTTTTTCTTCCTTTTCAGCCCCAGCACGGGCTGCCCGGGGATTATAAATATCCATAAATAGCCAACAAAACTCATTTTTGTGCCCCCCAAAGAGGGAGGTCCCACTGCTGTCCCCCCACAGCTGCGGGATCCCCATCTCTGCAGTTTCTTGTGCATGTCCTTATTTTACAATTCATTACTCTTCTAGCAGAATAGGCGAATAAAAACACTTTAAAAATTACATTTTCCCCACCAAGTTCCATTTCAGTCCCCCAGGGATTCATTTTACAGAAAAAGACGGGGGGAAAAACCCCAAAGCAGCTCTTTGGCTGCCTCTCCCAAGCAATGTGAGTCCATAAATCCGATTTCCAGCCCCCAGCACACATCCCTCAGCAGCGGAGTCGATTTTACACAACAAACGCTGCCCCACAGTTTGTGCTGTTCACCAGGACCCCACAGTTTGAAAAATTTGCCGAGACCCCACAGTTTGTACAATTTACTGGGACCTCATAGTTTGTGTTATTCACCAGGACCCCACAGTTTGTGCTATTTCCCAGGACCCCACAGTTTGTATTATTTATCGAGACCCCACAGTTTGTACAATTTCCTGGGACCCCACAGTTTGTGTTATTTACTGGGACCCCACAATTTGTGTTACTTACAGCGACCCCACAATTTGTGTTATTTCCCGGGACCTCACAGTTTGCATAATTTACCGGGACCCCACAGTTTGTGTTCTTTCCTGAGACCCCACAGTTTCTGTTCTTTCCCGGGACCCCACAATTTGTGTTATTTCCCGGGACCCCACAGTTTGCATTATTTACCGGGACCCCACAGTTTGTGTTCTTTCCTGAGACCCCACAGTTTGTGTTATTTACTGGGACCCCACAATTTGTGTTATTTACAGCGACCCCACAGTCTCTGTTATTTCCCGGGACCCCACAGTTTGTGTTATTTCCTGAGACCCCACAGTTTCTGTTCCTTACCGGGACCCCACAGTTTGTGTTATTTCCTGTAACCCCACAGTTTGTGTTATTTCCAGGACCCCACAGTCTGTGTTATTTACCGAGACCCCACAGTTTGTACAATTCACCGTAACCCCACAGTTTGTGCGGTTTCCCGGGCCAGCAGCAGAGCAGCGAGAAGAGCTCCAACCCCTCCCGTAGAACCAGCCACAAACTCCTCACCAACTCCCGCTCCCCGCTGATAAACCTCGCTGTTTCCCCCCATTTCTGCCCCCAATCCCGCTCTACCCCGCCGTGCCTTCCTCCCGGGGCGGCCGCGGCTTTACCTCGCTGAATCCCTCCTGCAGGATGTCCAGCACGCTGCCCCGGGCCAGGCAGGCCAGCATGGTCCCGGGGGGCTGAGGGGCCGCGGCGCCGCCTCTCGCTGCTCTCCCTCCTCTTCCTCCCGAGCACAAAGGCCGGGAGGCGGCGGGGAAGGGCTCTCATGGTCCCATCTGTGCGGGCCGGGCCGAGCGGAGCCGCTGTGGGCATGCTCGGGGGGAGGAGGCGGCGGAGATGTCACTCGGTTGTCACGGCGACGCCGCGGCTTTGCGAGATGCGGGCGCGGGGGAGAAAACATCTGAAAGCCATTTCCAGCCGAAAGGGGGAAAACAGACCGCGAAACCATCCCCGAAGGCGCTGGGGAAATGGGGTTTTTCAAGAGCGGGGGGAGAGGAGGAGGAAGAGGAGGAAGGAGGGACGGAGGGAGGTGATGCCTTGCACGGGGAGCAGAGCGCTGAGAGGAGATCGTTCTGCAGCCACAGGAAGCCGCAAGGCAGGCCACGACGCCCGGGAGGTTCGCAAGTTTGAACACTTCATTTTTTCAATGGAAAAAAAAAAAAA